AAAGCATGTTCAATTAATGGAAGAATACTCTTATTTAGCTCAAACATGTTGCATTGAAATTACTAATTCAAATAATAGGCATTCATACATGACAAACAAAAGCGCTGTCAATTATGGTTGTAAGATCTCCAACATCACTCTCTTCGAGTTTCTTCATTATTTTTTTTTCTTGCCGTCGCCCATTCTACTTTACTTTTTGCACCAGCAAAAATTCCTAGAAAGATTGATATACAATTCAAATATGAAATGGGCATGCTGGTATACGCTCACTCAATCAAAAATATTTATAGAAACTAAGACAAACTGGTTGCTTAGTATGCGATCACCATTTTTTAAAAGTGATACTGTTTAGACGAATGGTTGTTATGCACACCTAAAGCTAAAAAAACGTGAAATATTTATTTAAAGGTGATCGTGCTACATGGTTCGAGTTGAACGAATCTCTACTCAATGAACCATAACTAAAATAGAAGCCATCTAAAATTGGTGATGGTGCTTGAAATGAAAGTAGTTTGTAATTCCAAAAAAAGGCAATTAAACCCTTTGCGCAATTCTAAGTAATGATATGCCAATGAAAGCAAGGTGTAAACAGCTTACTACTCATAAATTCAGCCAAAATAATGAAGATTTTTTATCTATAGCGCTCAGAAATCCTGTACACAAAAAATAGAAGGTTAAACAGCCATTCAGCACAACGTATTCATAGTGCACACATGGCGCAGATTCTAAATACTTCGCAGTACATGAAAATGTTAATAACATCATCGGATCAGAAGGGCGGATAGCATCGGGAAAAAAATGTGCACCGCTGCTACATTTGACATTTCTATTTGCACACTGCATTGCGCATTTAATCTATGCACTCTTTGTGTGGACATAGAACATATGAGCTAGTTTTGCATTAACTTCAACTACAAATGTTTATGACTACTTTTACTAAAACTCGATGCATTTGCTGCTCAAGAACTTTTAAAAATGTAATAAAAACTGGAAATTTCTTTTGTCTTATTTTGAAATTTGACAACAACATTACAAACTGACAAGAGATTTTGAAGGAAGGTAGAGGCAATATGGTTTCTATTCATAACCAGACAAATCCATGGTAAAATGCAAAAGGTACTGGGGATGCAGTAATTTGGAAAAAAATTTAACATTTTTTACACGTGAAAGGTTAATAATTTGAGCATATTTTCAAACTGCTACAGCCAGGGGATTGAAGTTTTACTGACCATGAAAGTTAAGAAATTCCAATTAGAAAA